GGTGGGGGACATGAGGGGACACAGGGTGGGGGGCACAGTGTGAAGGGGAGAATATGGGGGGGTCTGGAGATCCCACTAGGGGACACGGGGCAGGTTCTGGAGAAGATGCTGGTGACCCTTCCCATCCATGGGGGAAACTGAGGCACGGAGGGTGGGGGAGCAGCTGTCACCAGGGCAGGGGGACACAGCAGGTGGCTCTGGGGACAGTGTCAACAGCTCCTGTGTCCCCCCCCAAACCCCAGGCAGGTCACCATGGCTGACCCCAGCCACATCCAATCAGCTGCTTCCAAGAGCATCCGTCCCTTCCGCTCCAGCGAGGAGTACCTGGAGGCCATGAAGGAGGACCTGGCCGAGTGGTTCAACACCCTCTACGACCTGGACATTCAGGTGGACACTTTCCTGGAGAGCCTGGAGACCGGTTGTCACCTCTGCCGTCACGCCAACCACGTCAACCGCGCCGCCCTGGAATTCCAGCAGCAACACCCCCAGGTGGCCGCCGGGATGCGGGTCCCTCAGAACGAGGTGGTTTTCCAAGCCAGGAACGTGGTGCCCGGATCCTTCATCGCCAGGGATAACGTGTCCAACTTCATCCAGTGGTGCCGGCAGGACCTGGGCATCCAGGATGTCCTGATGTTCGAGACCAACGACTTGGTGCTGAAGAAGAACGAGAAGAACTTTGTCCTCTGCTTGTTGGAGGTGGCCAGGAGGGGCTCCAAGTTTGGCATGTTGGCCCCCATGCTGATCCAGATGGAGGAGGAGATCGAGGAGGAGATGAGGGACCAAATGGGAGGTGACGAGGCGCTGGGAACGCGCCGGGAGAGCCGGGACCCCCGGGTGCCCCCCTGCCCTGGCAGGGCCCGGCCCGTGGCCCTCTGTGACCTGAAGAACCTGGATGAGCTGGTGAGACCCCTGCCCCTGGGAGCCTGGCTCCCTGCTGCCCACCCAGCCCCTGCTCCCTGGCCCACCACAGGGGCTCTCTGCCCACCCAACAGGGTGTTCTGTGCTGCCCAAGAGGCCCTGGCCACCCAAAGGTGGGGCCTGTGGGGCCTCTCTGGCCACCCAACCAGGCTCTTGGTGGCCACAGGATGTCCCTTCCACCCACCCAACCAGGTTGGCTGAAGCCCATTGGTCCCTTCTGGCCACCCAACCAGGCTCTTGGTGGCCATGGGATGTCCCACCCACCCAACCAGGTTGGCTGAAGCCCATTGGTCCCTTCCATCCACCCAACCAGGCTCTTGGTGGCCTTGGTTGGTCCCTTCTGGCCACCCAACCAGGTGGCCATGGGAGGTCCTTGGCCACCTGACCAGGCCATGTCACCCTGTGGAGCCTCCCGTGGGACTCAGGTGTCACCTCCTCCCTGATGGGGGGGGCACACAAGGGGGGAACACACGGTGTTTCCCCCCCCCACCAAACCTGCTCCATCCTCCTCCCAAGCCCCGTGGGGCTGCTGTGTCCCCAGGGCTGGACAGATGGACTTGGGGACATCCTGGCTGCCATTTGGGAGTGTCAGAAAGAGGAGGGGGAGTCCCTAAAAAAACGGGGTGCAGGGAAACCCACCTCACCCCCCCCCAGGCCCCCCCAGGGGCCCAGAGGCTCAGGCAGGA